ATCTTCATCTTCATCTTCATCTTCATCTTCATCTTCATCTTCATCTTCATTTCATCTTCATCTTCATCTTCATCTTCATCTTCATCTTCATTTTCATCTTCGTCGTCTTGGTCTTCATCTTTATCTTTTCCTTTATCCTGATCTAAATATGTCCATTCTTTTCTTCATTTACATATTCACCCCCACCATTGTTATTTAGGTTAGGTATTTAAATTTTCCTTCCTCTTTGTCTTTATATCTAGGTTTCTTTACTTTTATTTTAATTTCTGTATTTATCACTTTCTTCTTCTCCATACTCAACTTTACCTTCTTCCTTGTTTGAGTCTAATCTATTCATGTACATATATACATACATTTTATTCCTGAAGTTATGCCAAGTACTAAGCTAAACTCCCCTCCACTTAACCCATTCCAACTAATGTTATTTTAGCTCATTCAACTTACATAAACTATCCTTAATTTTATCGGTTGAATTTCAACCGCTGGGCGAACACTAGTTTTAATAAAGATGCATTAAAGAGTGAGTGAGTGGTGAATATATATTTCTTCAGACGCACATTCATGTAAACAAACAAAAGACGCAAACATATTTTAGTCATAAATAGAGGTCGTATTTTTAAGTTAAAAAATAAGCCTTAAAAATATTTAATATCTAACTATATGCAAAGTGTATACTAGGGTAGTCCATAAAATGTCAACATCATGCTAATTGTTTTAAAAAGTTAAATTTTTAATTTTTAGAAAATTATATATATTTTTTTATTTTTGTCTCTTTTTATTTAATTTTCTTATAATTTTGAAATTTTATTGTTTTAAAAAGGGAAAAAATCGCCTTTTTCCATTTCTTTTTAATTTTCTTTTTGTTTTTACATTTTATTGTTAAGTTTCATCTTTTTCCTTTAATATAGTTTTCACATTTGATTAGTTTAAAAAGTTTAATTTTTAATTTTTAGAAAGTTATATATTTTCCTATTTTTTAATATTTTTTTTATTTAACTTTCTTATAATCTTTAGATTTTATTGTTTTAAAAAGAAGGAAATGTTTAGTTTTATTTCATTTCTTTTATGTTTTGATTAAATTGTTTGTGGTTTTACAAAGAAACATAGTTTTTAATATAACTTATTTTAAGAAAGGTGTTTCTTAATTTTTACTTTTTTGAATTAATTTTTAGAATTTATTGTAAAATATATATCTTTTATATCATTTAACTTTTACATAGGAAACTTATTGCTAAAAGACAAACAGATAACGCTAAGGCGTGAATTCTTCATGTATCCATAATTTTTTGACTAACTCTGCATACTTTTCGGCGTCAGAAGTTAGGAAAATTTCAAAATTTGCATACTTAGGTGCAACCACAACAAAGCACTCAATATTAAACAGCCGTAAAACCACCACTACAGTAAAAGGGGCTAAAACAAATATACTTTCAAAAACACCAGCACACGCACACATGCAAATAAATTGAGAATTTCTATCTCAGTCATATTTCAGACAGTTTCCTTATGCATCGATGCAAATTAGATTTTCACACGTGCAAAAATGTGACCACAGTTAAATATGAATAACCAACCACAGCAGCCAAATGGCTATGTAGGTACTACTATGACAACTTGAATAAGAAGCGACAGCCCAAAAGTATATGCAGGTGCCAGCAAGCCCGTAGCATACCAACAGGCGCTCAACACGCTGAGTTGCAGACAACAAACAAAGACAAGTTTTTGGGCAAGCACAGTGTAATGCAATTGCCAAAAACTTCAATTTGCAACTTCCTCAGCTTCGAATACTTATCAGAGAAAGACGCCGTGCTACACCACACCTACCTACCTACCCGCTCTAAATACGCCCAGAAGTCGACAAACAAACGAAACGAAAACTACATACATGCAACCAAGTGAACGAATAAACTTCGCTTCAATTTTATGTACAGTGCAGTGCGTCAGTAGCTGTTGTGCTTTCTTCCAACTTTCTTTTGCGTCACCGAACTATTTAACTGCCGGTATGTCTGTTTGTTTGTTTACACGTCTATCCGCCAGCTGCACTGTGCTTCACTCAACTCCGCCGCAAACTTGGTATTTTACATGCTGTTTTTGTTTTTGCCCGCCAACTTGTCTGCACTGTCTGACTGTCTGGCTGCCAATCTGTCGTCCGGACTGTCTGTCGCTGTATCTTGCAGTGCACCAATTCTGCCAACACGTAATTTCACAAAATTCTGCAAGCATTTCAACAAAATGTTTGCATACTTTTTGGCAGCAACAGCAATGCACTACCAAGCCTTCTTTGCATGTGTGCCAGCAATCAGACAAGCTAGTGAGCAAGTGAGCTACATAGCGAGTATTGTCATGATGTGGCAAAATGTTTTGTTGACAAAATTTAAGCTGTGAAGTTTGTATGAGTTTTACAACAAATATTAATTAAGTGCTCAAATAAAGCAATAATGAATGCAGCCTGAAGATATGCAACAGTTTTAGCATTAAGAAAACTAAAAGCTTCAGCAGCAAATTGTTATGTCTTGAATGTAGGACTAGTAAGTAGTGACTTGTTCCATACATTTATCTCGTCAAGGATTTCACAAATGTAAACTGGCTATCGCTCCCACGTACACACATACACGCATTTGTACTTCCTGAACTGTAACCCCATTGCCCTGTACTAAGTCATCAAAAGCGTCACACTGAGTTTGCTTTTACGACCGCTTTCAGCTTTTGCTGTCACTTTTTATGCCCCTCGTATACATTAAACTCTTTTGATACGCCAGCAAATGGCTGAATCCGCAGTGCGCAAGATGCGTGTCGCACGCGGTGTGTGTCAGTGGTTTTCCATAGCTCTTACGCTGTTCTTTTATTAGTTTATTTCTTTATATTACTTTTTATCGCGTGAATCGTAAAAAATTTCGCAGTTATGGTCAGCTGCATTCGTAATGATAAAGTGAACGTTGAAATTTCGCGCTAAATGGGAAATTTGTAAATATTTTACGAGAGCTTTGAGTTGACGTAAGACTCGCAGGCGATAAGGTGCAAAGGTAGATTGGTTAACGAGCGGCCGATCTTTTTTGAAAGAACAACCGCCGGGGCTTGTTTCCTTCAACAACTAGCCTTGCTTGCTGCCGCCACTTTGTGTCTTCATTCGTGGACAAAAAATAAATGATATTGCTTACAACAGAGATCTGAGCACTTGTGTCTTTTCGACTTTGTTAAAGAGATTCTACAATTTTGAGTTCCCTGAGACCGAATGCTGTTTTATTTCCAACACTTAGCTTGGTCGAATCTTTACTCGTGTCTCAAAACTGACTCTGGGTCAGGATCTGTGGTCTCTATCGAAGATAATGGC